TGTGTGTGTGTGTGTGTGTGTGTGTGTGTGTGTGCGTTCAAGTCACATGACATATTTAACCGGATGTAGCTGCAAGACGGAGCCTCGTTGACTCTCCGTTTCAATTTATCTCAAAAGTGAGGACCTCAACCTATATACCAGTTTTTAAATTGTGTTGATAGGCCAAATAAAACCAGAGTTATGATAAATTATGTCCGCGATACTTGTTTTCTGCTTATTTTGATCACGTTCGGCGCTCGATCGCGCTGTATGAGACAGGAAAACATAGCATGCAGACATTAGCGACAGGTCTTACAGGCGGAAAAGGCTTGCCAAAAGAAAAAAAAAACACACCACAACATCTCTCCTATTGGTGGAAAACTTCACCACAACAACCAATCCAAAATTATATGGTGACTGATTGACAAGGGGCGGGAACTTACGTTCTTCCTGCAATATGAGAAGGGAGGGAGGGACTCTCAGCAGGGATGCAGTCTGGGACACGTAGTTGCAAACCTAGCGACTTTGTTGTTAGATTCAATGACTTTTCAGACCCCCTAACGACTTTTTTTTTAGAAAGAAAGTGACTTTTATCGACTTCTTCTGGAGTTTAGAGACTCTGACATGAAGCAGGCTTTCCTTACTGAGGAGTTAGCAACGCTGCTAAGGGTGAAGAGCCACACATGCGCTCCGAGCTCTGCATGGGAGACTGAAGCTGACAGAGCTGCAGCAGTTAGCAGGTTTCACCCTCAGAGACCACCAGGGGTTCATGTTGAGGCATTTTCATTTTTTTTTTTTTTTTGCCATAGACACTGTCAGCACAATCTGCAGTTACACTAACAAAAATGCTGCAAAAAACAAAGAATTATGGAAAAATTACACATGGACTAACATAGAGGAGGATCTACACAAGTTTTTTACATCATGTTTTACATCATGCATCATTTACATCATGTTTTTTTGTAGTGGCATAAATAAAAAGTGACATTTGTGAGACTATACAGTGTTTTGTAAATAATTTTACAAAGAACACCTGGGCCATTGCCTGCATTTTGATGTCAATAGAGGTAAATTACTATGTTCTTTGTTAAAAATTTGCATATGTTTTGAAGTTTACAATTTTTATTTGAAGTTTAAGTTTTAAAAACAGTTCATCACACATATTTGTGGTTTTCACAGTAAAAACGTTACTTTTTTCCACTCGGATTTTATGTTTTGTGTGTGAATTTGGGTCCAATGTGTAAATATAGTATGTCAAAATGATAAAATAACTGTAAATTGACACAGGTGAGGTTGTGCTGAAAAAAATGATACCAGGCAAGGCAAGGTAAAAATTTTGTAAGAGGAAATATAAAGGTAAAATCTAAAGTAGTCAAAAACGGCCAATAGTGACTCACAGACTCCACAGACAAGTCCCTTTGGCGCCACTCAGTGGGCAAAACTACTTTGTCTACTGTAATGTATATTTGGGTCATCTTTGGCGCCCCCTAAAACGTAAACCGTGGGGTGCAGCGTCATGATTTTTACAACTTTGAATGGCCATGGAGTGTAGATTGGCCTGAGCAAATTTGGTGTCAGTGGGACGAAAGCCTTAGGAGGAGTTAGCGAAATTCCAATGTGTGCGAATCGGCAAAAAATGCAAAATAGCCCTTTTACCGTACATTATACAGATACGCGCTCTTTGACTTTTTCGTAGATCTAATTGAGATACACATGATTGTCAATTTTTGTGTCATTTTGCCAAAGCGTACAGGCGTGACAGTCAACAATGTGTATTTTCACCTTAGGGGACAAGAAAAAATGGACTTTTTTCTCCTGCCATGGGGGGGCGCTCTTTTAGGGAGTAAAAATTCCTTCACAAATGTGTTGATGGCTGGACATTGCATCATCCTAGAAAACTTGGAGGCCAGTGAGGACAAAAATAAAAAGTTATAAGACTTTTAAAAATGTGGATTTTTGGGTTATCTTTGGCGCCCCCTAGAACGTAAACCGTGGGGTGCAGCGTCATGATTTGAATAACTTTTAATGGCCATGGGGTGTAATTTGGCCTGAGCAAATGTGGTGCCGGTGGAACGAAAGCCTTCGGAGGAGTTAGCGAAATTCCAATGTGTGCGAATCGGCAAAAAATGCGGAATAACCCTTTAACCGTACATTTGACAGATACGCGCGCATTGACTTTTTCGAAGATCTTATTGAGATACATGTGTGTGTCAATTTTTGTGTCATTTTGACAAAGCGTATAGGCGTGACAGTCAACAATGTGTATTTTCACCTTAGGGGACAAGAAAAAATGGACTTTTTTCTCCTGCCATGGGGGGGCGCTCTTTTGGGGAGTAAAAATTCCTTCACACATGTGTTGATGGCTGGACATTGCATCATCCTAGAAAACTTGGAGGCCAGTGAGGGCAAAAATAAAAAGTTATAAGACTTTTAAATATGTGGATTTTAGGGTTATCTTTGGCGCCCCCTAGAACGTAAACCGTGGGGTGCAGCGTCATGATTTGAATAACTTTTAATGGCCATGGGGTGTAATTTGGCCTGAGCAAATGTGGTGCCGGTGGAACGAAAGCCTTCGGAGGAGTTAGCGAAATTCCAATGTGTGCGAATCGGCAAAAAATGCGGAATAACCCTTTAACCGTACATTTGACAGATACGCGCGCATTGACTTTTTCGAAGATCTTATTGAGATACATGTGTGTGTCAATTTTTGTGTCATTTTGACAAAGCGTATAGGCGTGACAGTCAACAATGTGTATTTTCACCTTAGGGGACAAGAAAAAATGGACTTTTTTCTCCTGCCATGGGGGGGCGCTCTTTTGGGGAGTAAAAATTCCTTCACACATGTGTTGATGGCTGGACATTGCATCATCCTAGAAAACTTGGAGGCCAGTGAGGGCAAAAATAAAAAGTTATAAGACTTTTAAATATGTGGATTTTAGGGTTATCTTTGGCGCCCCCTAGAACCTAAACCGTGGGGTGCAGCGTCATGATTTGAATAACTTTTAATGGCCATGGGGTGTAGATTGGCCTGAGCAAATGTGGTGCCGGTGGAACGAAAGCCTTCGGAGGAGTTAGCGAAATTCCAATGTGTGCGGATCGGCAAAAAATGCGAAATAACCCTTTAACCGTACATTTGACAGATACGCCCGCACTGACTTTTTTGTAGATCTTATTGAGATACATGTGTGTGTCAATTTTTGTGTCATTTGACAAAGCGTACAGGCGTGACAGTCAATAGTGTGAATTTTCACCTTAGGGGGCGCTATGGAGCCATTTTGCATTTTCTTGTTTGGGCGACTTCGGAATATCAAATTTTTCACCAGGCCCGGTCGTCCTGCCAAATTTCCTGAGTTTTCGCCAGTGGGAAGTGGGCCATTTTCCAGTTCAAAGGGGAGGAAAAAGAAGAAAGAAAGAAACAACTAGGACCCCGTTGGGGCACTGGCGGGCCCGAGCTGTGTCGCGTCCCCCCCCCAACGCGCTGCCTCCCCGTCCCATTTGTGTCCTCTGGCCATTGCCCTCTTTGGTAACGCCCATCACTGCAAAGACCCTTTTCCTTCATCGGCGTTTGCTGTTCTTCCTGCCAGTGCGTGTTGCTTTCACTTACACTTGCCACAGCCAGCCTCGTGAGTGCCTAGCCTATTCGATATCACTGTCACCTACACAGGACAGTCATTACCTTTCTATTAATACTTTGTTTTTTAATTTCACATTAATTTCCAAATTGTATAAACGACTGGAAAAAACTTGAGCCCCTGCCCCTGTATAATCATGTGCACGTCTCTGTTCTAGCTCTAAGGTAAATCTTCACTGCTCATGTTCTCCTCAGAAGCAGTCACCTCACTCCCCTCAGGTTACTGTACACATGCACCAACTGCCTGCTTCAGGTTTGGATGGAGCTTCATGGTTGTCTTTTGGAGAAATGACCAGTCAAGTTGTGTTTGAAATTTGATTTTTTTCAGGGGCAAAAGGAGCCTCTGCATTCTTGTCAAATATGTAAATAGCATGTTTTTGCAGGTGCTACAAACCAGACTCTGAGTGTGTGTGTGTGTGCGTGTGTGTGTGTGTGTGTGTGTGTGTGTGTGTGTGTGCGTTCAAGTCACATGACATATTTAACCGGATGTAGCTGCAAGACGGAGCCTCGTTGACTCTCCGTTTCAATTTATCTCAAAAGTGAGGACCTCAACCTATATACCAGTTTTTAAATTGTGTTGATAGGCCAAATAAAACCAGAGTTATGATAAATTATGTCCGCGATACTTGTTTTCTGCTTATTTTGATCACGTTCGGCGCTCGATCGCGCTGTATGAGACAGGAAAACATAGCATGCAGACATTAGCGACAGGTCTTACAGGCGGAAAAGGCTTGCCAAAGGAAAAAAAATACACACCACAACATCTCTCCTATTGGTGGAAAACTTCACCACAACAACCAATCCAAAATTATATGGTGACTGATTGACAAGGGGCGGGAACTTACGTTCTTCCTGCAATATGAGAAGGGAGGGAGGGACTCTCAGCAGGGATGCAGTCTGGGACACGTAGTTGCAAACCTAGCGACTTTGTTGTTAGATTCAATGACTTTTCAGACCCCCTAACGACTTTTTTTTAGAAAGAAAGTGACTTTTATCGACTTCTTCTGGAGTTTAGAGACTCTGACATGAAGCAGGCTTTCCTTACTGAGGAGTTAGCAACGCTGCTAAGGGTGCAGAGCCACACATGCGCTCCGAGCTCTGCATGGGAGACTGAAGCTGACAGAGCTGCAGCAGTTAGCAGGTTTCACCCTCAGAGACCACCAGGGGTTCATGTTGAGGCATTTTCAGTTTTTTAGGGCCCGAGCGTAGCTGCTAAGCAGCTGCGAGAGCCCTCTTGTTCCTGATGGATTCTTCTTTAGGGCCCGAGCGTAGCTGCTAAGCAGCTGCGAGAGCCCTCTTGTTCCTGATGGATTCTTCTTTCGTTATTTTTCCTCCGCTTTAAACTGGAAAATGGCCCACTTCCCACTGGTGAAAACTCAGGAAATTTGGCAGGACGACCGGGCCTGGTGAAAAATTCGATATTCTGAAGTCGCCCAAACAAAAAAATGAAAAATGGCTCCATAGCGCCCCCTATGGTGAAAACTCACCTGACGCCTGTACGCTTTGTCAAAATGACACAAAATTTGACACACATGTGTATCTCAATAACATCTACAAAAAAGTCAGTGTGGGCGTATCTGTCAAATGTACCGTTAAAGGGCTATTTCGCATTTTTTGCCGATCCGCACACATTGGAATTTCGCTAACTCCTCCGAAGGCTTTCGTTCCACCAGCAACAAATTTGCTCAGGACAATCTACACCCCATGGCCATTAAAAGTTGTACAAATCATGACGCTGCACCCCACGGTTTACATTCTAGGGGGCGCCAAAGATAACCCAAAAATCCACAGTCTTAAAAGTCTTATAACTTTTTATTTTTGTCCTCACTGGCCTCCAAGTTTTCTAGGATGATGCAATGTCCAGCCATCAACACATTTGTGAAGAAATTTTTACTCCCCAAAAGAGCGCCCCCCCATGGCAGGAGAAAAAAGTCCATTTTTTCTTGTCCCGTAAGGTGAAAATACACATTGTTGAGTGTCACGCCTGAACGCTTTGTCATATTGACACAAAATTTGACACACACGTGTATCTCAATAAGATCTACGAAAAAGTCAGAGAGCACGTATCTGTATAATGTACGGTTAAAGGGCTATTTCGCATTTTTTGCCGATCCGCACACATTGGAATTTCGCTAACTCCTCCGAAGGCTTTCGTTCCACCGGCACCAAATTTGCTCAGGCCAATCTACACCCCATGGCCATTAAAAGTTGTACAAATCATGACGCTGCACCCCACGGTTTAGGTTCTAGGGGGCGCCAAAGATAACCCAAAAATCCACATTCTTAAAAGTCTTATAACTTTTTCTTTTTGTCCTCACTGGCCTCCAAGTTTTCTAGGATGATGCAATGTCCAGCCATCAACACATTTGTGAAGGAATTTTTACTCCCCAAAAGAGCGCCCCCCCATGGCAGGAGAAAAAAGTCAATTTTTTCTTGTCCCGTAAGGTGAAAATTCACATTGTTGAGTGTGACGCCTGTACGCTTTGTCATATTGACACAAAATTTGACAATCACATGTATCTCAATAAGATCTACGAAAAAGTCAATGGGTGCGTATCTGTAAAAACTACGGTTAAAGGGCTATTTTGCATTTTTTGCCGATTCGCACACATTGGAATGTGGCTAACTCCTCCTAAGGCTTTCGTCCCACTGACACCAAATTTGCTCAGGCCAATCTACACCCCATGGCCATTCAAAGTTGTAAAAATCATGACGCTGCACCCCACGGTTTACGTTCTAGGGGGCGCCAAAGATGACCCAAATATCCACATTCTTAAAAGAATCCACATCCCCCCCCCCATCCCCCATCCCCCATGGCAGGAGAAACAGTCAAGTTTTTCCTGCCCATCACTCAATGGCTCAATCGCATCACTCTCCCGGCAACACCGTAACGAGGAGCAACTTGCCGTTTGGATATATCCTAGCTGTGTTTGTGCCCTCACTCATGGTCCAGACTTTTTTCAAATAGGACATGTAATTTGTCTGCAGCGAGTGTTTTGGTAGAAACTGCGCCTCCCATTCATTATAATGGGAAATGACCACAGACAAGTGCGCACACCATCTTTGGACCTTGAGTGTGACGCGATCGGGAGGGGGAGGCGGTCGCGCTGGGGGCGGCGCAACGCGGCTCGGGCCCGACAGTGCCCCACCGGGGTCCTAGTTTGTTATTATTATTATTATTTTTCCTCCGCTTTAAACTGGAAAATGGCCCACTTCCCACTGGCGAAAACTCAGGAAATTTGGCAGGACGACCGGGCCTGGTGAAAAATTCGATATTCTGAAGTCGCCCAAACAATAAAATACAAAATGGCTCCATAGCGCCCCCTAAGGTGAAAATTCACACTATTGACTGTCACGCCTGTACGCTTTGTCATATTGACACAAAAATTGACACACACATGTATCTCAATAAGATCTACAAAAAAGTCAGTGCGGGCGTATCTGTCAAATGTACGGTTAAAGGGTTATTTCGCATTTTTTGCAGATCCGCACACATTGGAATTTCACTAACTCCTCCGAAGGCTTTCGGTCCACCGGCACCACATTTGCTCAGGCCAATCTACACCCCATGGCCATTCAAAGTTGTACAAATCATGATGCTGCACCCCATGGCTTAGGTTCTAGGGGGCGCCAAAAATAACCCTAAAATCCACATTCTTAAAAGTTTTATAACTTTTTATTTTTGCCCTCACTGGCCTCCAAGTTTTCTAGGATGATGCAATGTCCAGCCATCAACACATTTGTGAAGGAATTTTTACTCCCCAAAAGAGCGCCCCCCCATGGCAGGACAAAAAAGTCAATTTTTTCTTGTCCCCTAAGGTGAAAATAAACATTGTTGAATGTCACGCCTGTACGCTTTGTCATATTGACACAAAATTTGACACACACGTGTATCTCAATAAGATCTACGAAAAAGTCAATGCGCGCGTATCTGTAAAATGTACGGCTAAACGGCTATTTTGCATTTTTTGCCGATTCGCACACATTGGAATGTGGCTAACTCCTCCTAAGGCTTTCGTCCCACTGACACCAAATTTGCTCAGGCCAATCTACACCCCATGGCCATTCAAAGTTGTAAAAATCATGCCGCTGCACCCCATGGTTTACGTTCTAGGGGGCGCCAAAGATGACCCAAATATCCACATTCTTAAAAGTCGTTTTGGCCACTGCAGGATACACACACACACACACACACACACACACACACACACACACACACACACACACACACACACACACACACACACACACACATACACACTCAGAGTCTGTTTTTCAGCACCTGCAAAAACATGCTATTTACATATTTGACAACAATGCAGAGACTTCCTTTTGCCCCTGAAAAAAATGAAATTTCAAACACAACTTGACTGCTCATTTCTCCAAAAGACAACCATGAAGCTCCATCCAAACCTGAAGCAGGCAGTTGGTGCATGTGTACAGTAACCTGAGTGGAGTGAGGTGACTGCTTCTGAGGAGAACATGAGCAGTCAAGATTCACTTTGGAGCTAGAACAGGGACGTGCACATGATTATACAGGGGCAGGGGCTCAAGTTTTTTCCAGTCGTTTAGACAATATGGAAATTAATGTGAAATTAAAAAACAAAGTATTAATAGAAAGGTAATGACTGTCCTGTGTAGGTGACAGTGATATCCAATAGGCTAGGCACTCACGAGGCTGGCTGTGGCAAGTGCAAGTGAAAGCCACACGCACTGGCAGGAAGAACAGCAAACGCCGATGAAGGAAAAGGGTCTTTGCAGTGATGGGCGTTACCAGAGAGGACGATGGCCAGAGGACGCGAATGGGACGGGGAGGCAGCGCGTTGGGGGGGGGGGGGGGGGGGGGGGCGCGACACAGCTCGGGCCCGCCAGTGCCCCACCGGGGCCCTAGTTAGGGCCCGAGCGTAGCTGCTAAGCAGCTGCGAGAGCCCTCTTGTTCCTGATGGATTCTTCTTTCGTTATTTTTCCTCCGCTTTAAACTGGAAAATGGCCCACTTCCCACTGGCGAAAACTCAGGAAATTTGGCAGGACGACCGGGCCTGGTGAAAAATTCGATATTCTGAAGTCGCCCAAACAAAAAAATGAAAAATGGCTCCATAGCGCCCCCTATGGTGAAAATTCACCTGACGCCTGTACGCTTTGTCAAAATGACACAAAATTTGACACACATGTGTATCTCAATAAGACCTACAAAAAAGTCAGTGCGGGCGTATCTGTCAAATGTACCGTTAAAGGGCTATTTCGCATTTTTTGCCGATCCGCACACATTGGAATTTCGCTAACTCCTCCGAAGGCTTTCGTTCCACTGGCACCAAATTTGCTCAGGCCAATCTACACCCCATGGCCATCAAAAGTTGTACAAATCATGACGCTGCACCCCACGGTTTACGTTCTAGGGGGCGCCAAAGATAACCCAAAAATCCACATTCTTAAAAGTCTTATAACTTTTTATTTTTGTCCTCACTGGCCTCCAAGTTTTCTAGGATGATGCAATGTCCAGCCATCAACACATTTGTGAAGGAATTTTTACTCCCCAAAAGAGCGCCCCCCCATGGCAGGTGAAAAAAGTCCATTTTTTCTTGTCCCCTAACATGAAAATACACATTGTAGAGTGTCACGCCTGAACGCTTTGTCATATTGACACAAAATTTGACAATCACGTGTATCTCAATAAGATCTACGAAAAAGTCAAAGAGCGCGTATCTGTATAATGTACGGTTAAAGGGCTATTTCGCATTTTCTGCCGATCCGCACACATTGGAATTTCGCTAACTCCTCCAAAGGCTTTCGTTCCACCGGCACCAAATTTGCTCAGGTCAATCTACACCCCATGGCCATTAAAAGTTGTACAAATCATGACGCTGCACCCCACGGTTTACGTTCTAGGGGGCGCCAAAGATAACCCAAAAATCCACATTCTTAAAAGTCTTATAACTTTTCATTTTTGTCCTCACTGGCCTCCAAGTTTTCTAGGATGATGCAATGTCCAGCCATCAACACATTTGTGAAGGAATTTTTACTCCCTAAAAGAGCGCCCCCCATGGCAGGAGAAAAAAGTCCATTTTTTCTTGTCCCATAAGGTGAAAATACACATTGTTGACTGTCATACCTGTATGCTTTGTCATATTGACACAAAATTTGACACACACATGTATCTCAATAAGATCTACGAAAAAGTCAATGCGCGCGTATCTGTAAAATGTACGGTTAAAAGGCTATTTTGCATTTTTTGCCGATTAGCACACATTGGAATGTGGCTAACTCCTCCTAAGGCTTTCGTCCCACTGACACCAAATTTGCTCAGGCCAATCTACACCCCATGGCCATTCAAAGTTTTAAAAATCATGACGCTGCACCCCACGGTTTACGTTCTAGGGGGCGCCAAAGATGACCCAAATATCCACATTCTTAAAAGAATCCACATCCCTTTCCCCCCCTCCCATCCCCCATCCCCCATGGCAGGAGAAACAGTCAAGTTTTTCCTGCCCATCACTCAATGGCTCAATCGCATCGCTCTCCCGGCAACACCGTAACGAGGAGCAACTTGCCGTTTGGCTATATCCTAGCTGTGTTTGTGCCCTCACTCATGGGCCAGACTTTTTTCAAATAGGACATGTAGTTTGTCTGCAGCGAGTGTTTTGGTAGAAACTGCGCCTCCCATTCATTATAATGGGAAATGACCACAGACAAGTGCGCACACCATCTTTGGACCTTGAGTGTGACGCGATCGGGAGGGGGAGGCGGTTGCACTGGGGGCGGCGCAACGCGGCTCGGGCCCGCCAGTGCCCCAACGGGGCCCTAGTTTCTTCTTTTTCCTCCCCTTTGAACTGGAAAATGGCCCACTTCCCACTGGCGAAAACTCATGAAATTTGGCAGGACGACCGGGCCTGGTGAAAAATTCGATATTCTGAAGTCGCCCAAACAATAAAATGCAAAATGGCTCCATAGCGCCCCCTAAGGTGGAAATTCACACTATTGACTGTCACGCCTGTACGCTTTGTCATATTGACACAAAAATTGACAAACATATGTATCTCAATAAGATCTACAAAAAAGTCAGTGCGGCCGTATCTGTCAAAATTACGGTTAAAGGGTTATTTCGCATTTTTTGCCGATCCGCACACATTGGAATTTCGCTAACTCCTCCGAAGGCTTTCGTTCCACCGGCACCACATTTGCTCAGGCCAATCTACACCCCGTGGCCATTAAAAGTTATCAAAATCATGACGCTGCACCCCAAGGTTTAGGTTCTAGGGGGCGCCAAAGATAACCCTAAAATCCACATATTTAAAAGTCTTATAACTTTTTATTTTTGTCCTCACTGGCCTCCAAGTTTTCTAGGATGATGCAATGTCCAGCCATCAACACATTTGTGAAGGAATTTTTACTCCCCAAAAGAGCGCCCCCCCATGGCAGGAGAAAAAAGTCCATTTTTTCTTGTCCCCTAAGGTGAAAATACACATTGTTGAGTGTCACGCCTATACGCTTTGTCAAAATGACACAAAAATTGACACACACACATGTAACTCAATAAGATCTACGAAAAAGTCAATGCGTGCGTATCTGTCAAATGTACGGTTAAAGGGTTATTCCGCATTTTTTGCCGATCCGCACACATTGGAATGTGGCTAACTCCTCCTAAGGCTTTCGTTCCACCGGCACCACATTTGCTCAGGCCAATCTACACCCCATGGCCATTAAAAGTTATTCAAATCATGACGCTGCACCCCACGGTTTAGGTTCTAGGGGGTGCCAAAGATAACCCTAAAATCCACATATTTAAAAGTCTTATAACTTTTTATTTTTGTCCTCACTGGCGTCCAAGTTTTCTAGGATGATGCAATGTCCAGCCATCAACACATTTGTGAAGGAATTTTTACTCCCCAAAAGAGCGCCCCCCCATGGCAGGAGAAAAAAGTCAATTTTTTCTTGTCCCCTAAGGTGAAAATACATATTGTTGAGATTCACGCCTATACGCTTTGTCATATTGACACAAAATTTGACAATCACGTGCCTTGCCTGGTATCATTTTTTTCAGCACAACCTCACCTGTGCGAATTTACAGTTATTTTATCATGTTGACATACTGAATTTACACAATGGACCCAAATTCACACACAAAACATAAAATCCGAGTGGAAAAAAGTAACATTTTTACTGTGAAAACCACAAATATGTGTGATGAACTGTTTTTAAAACTTAAACTTCAAATAAAAATTGTAAACTTCAAAACATATGCAAATTTTTAACAAAGAACATAGTGATTTACCTCTATTTACATCAAAATGCAGGCAATGGCCCAGGCGTTCTTTGTAAAATTATTTACAAAACACTGTATAGTCTCACAAATGTCACTTTTTATTTATGCCACTACAAAAAAACATGATGTAAATGATGCATGATGTAAAACATGATGTAAAAAACCTGTGTAGATCCTCCTCTATGTCAGTCCATGTGTAATTTTTCCATAATTCTTTGTTTTTTGCAGCATTTTTGTTAGTGTAACTGCAGATTGTGCTGACAGTGTCTATGGCACAAAAAAAAAAAAAATTAAAATGCCTCAACATGAACCCCTGGTGGTCTCTGAGGGTGAAACCTGCTAACTGCTGCAGCTCTGTCAGCTTCAGTCTCCCATGCAGAGCTCTGAGCGCATGTGTGGCTCTGCACCCTTAGCAGCGTTGCTAACTCCTCAGTAAGGAAAGCCTGCTTCATGTCAGAGTCTCTAAACTCCAGAAGAAGTCGATAAAAGTCCCTTTCTTTCTAAAAAAAAGTCGTTAGGGGGTCTGAAAAGTCATTGAATCTAACAACAAAGTCGCTAGGTTTGCAACTACGTGTCCCAGACTGCATCCCTGCTGAGAGTCCCTCCCTCCCTTCTCATGTTGCAGGAAGAACGTAAGCGCCCGCCCCTTGTCAATCAGTCACCATATAATTTTGGATTGGTTGTTGTGGTGAAGTTTTCCACCAATAGGAGAGATGTTGTGGTGTGTTTTTTTTTTTTTTGGCAAGCCTTTTCCGCCTGTAAGACCTGTCGCTAATGTCTGCATGCTATGTTTTCCTGTCTCATACAGCGCGATCGAGCGCCGAACGTGATCAAAATAAGCAGAAAACAAGTATCGCGGACATAATTTATCATAACTCTGGTTTTATTTGGCCTATCAACACAATTCAAAAACTGGTATATAGGTTGAGGTCCTCACTTTTGAGATAAGTTGAAACGGAGAGTCAACGAGGCTCCGTCTTGCAGCTACATCCGGTTAAATATGTCATGTGACTTGAACGCACACACAGACACACACACACGCACGCACACACACACACACACACACACACACACACACACACTCAGAGTCTGGTTTTTAGCACCTGCAAAAACATGCTATTTACATATTTGACAAGAATGCAGAGGCTCCTTTTGCCCCTGAAAAAAATCAAATTTCAAACACAACTTGACTGGTCATTTCTCCAAAAGACAACCATGAAGCTCCATCCAAACCTGAAGCAGGCAGTTGGTGCATGTGTACAGTAACCTGAGGGGAGTGAGGTGAGTGCTTCTGAGGAGAACATGAGCAGTGAAGATTCACCTTGGAGCTAGAACAGAGACATGCACATGATTATACAGGGGCAGGGGCTCAAGTTTTTTCCAGTCATTTATACAATATGGAAATTAATGTGAAATTAAAACACAAAGTATTAATAGAAAGGTAATGACTGTCCTGTGTAGGTGACAGTGATATCGAATAGGCTAGGCACTCACGAGGCTGGCTGTGGCAAGTGTAAGTGAAAGCAACACGCACTGGCAGGAAGAACAGCAAACGCCGATGAAGGAAAGGGTCTTTGCAGTGATGGGCGTTACCAGAGAGGGCGATGGCCAGAGGACGCGAATGGGACGGGGAGGCAGCGCGTTGGGGGGGGGGGGGACACGGCTCGGGCCCGCCAGTGCCCCAACGGGGTCCTAGTTTTTGTTTTTTTTTGCCATAGACACTGTCAGCACAATCTGCAGTTACACTAACAAAAATGCTGCAAAAAACAAAGAATTATGGAAAAATTACACATGGACTAACATAGAGGAGGATCTACACAAGTTTTTTACATCATGTTTTACATCATGCATCATTTACATCATGTTTTTTTGTAGTGGCATAAATAAAAAGTGACATTTGTGAGACTATACAGTGTTTTGTAAATAATTTTACAAAGAACACCTGGGCCATTGCCTGCATTTTGATGTCAATAGAGGTAAATTACTATGTTCTTTGTTAAAAATTTGCATATGTTTTGAAGTTTACAATTTTTATTTGAAGTTTAAGTTTTAAAAACAGTTCATCACACATATTTGTGGTTTTCACAGTAAAAACGTTACTTTTTTCCACTCGGATTTTATGTTTTGTGTGTGAATTTGGGTCCAATGTGTAAATATAGTATGTCAAAATGATAAAATAACTGTAAATTGACACAGGTGAGGTTGTGCTGAAAAAAATGATACCAGGCAAGGCAAGGTAAAAATTTTGTAAGAGGAAATATAAAGGTAAAATCTAAAGTAGTCAAAAACGGCCAATAGTGACTCACAGACTCCACAGACAAGTCCCTTTGGCGCCACTCAGTGGGCAAAACTACTTTGTCTACTGTAATGTATATTTGGGTCATCTTTGGCGCCCCCTAAAACGTAAACCGTGGGGTGCAGCGTCATGATTTTTACAACTTTGAATGGCCATGGAGTGTAGATTGGCCTGAGCAAATTTGGTGTGAGTGGGACGAAAGCCTTAGGAGGAGTTAGCGAAATTCCAATGTGTGCGAATCGGCAAAAAATGCAAAATAGCCCTTTTACCGTACATTATACAGATACGCGCTCTTTGACTTTTTCGTAGATCTAATTGAGATACACATGATTGTCAATTTTTGTGTCATTTTGCCAAAGCGTACAGGCGTGACAGTCAACAATGTGTATTTTCACCTTAGGGGACAAGAAAAAATGGACTTTTTTCTCCTGCCATGGGGGGGCGCTCTTTTAGGGAGTAAAAATTCCTTCACAAATGTGTTGATGGCTGGACATTGCATCATCCTAGAAAACTTGGAGGCCAGTGAGGACAAAAATAAAAAGTTATAAGACTTTGAAATATGTGGATTTTAGGGTTATCTTTGGCGCCCCCTAGAACCTAAACCGTGGGGTGCAGCGTCATGATTTGAATAACTTTTAATGGCCATGGGGTGTAGATTGGCCTGAGCAAATGTGGTGCCGGTGGAACGAAAGCCTTCGGAGGAGTTAGCGAAATTCCAATGTGTGCGGATCGGCAAAAAATGCGAAATAACCCTTTAATTGTACATTTGACAGATATGCCCGCACTGACTTTTTTGTAGATCTTATTGAGATACATGTGTGTGTCAATTTTTGTGTCATTTTGACAAAGTGTACAGGCGTGACAGTCAATAGTGTGAATTTTCACCTTAGGGGGCGCTATGGAGCCATTTTGCATTTTCTTGTTTGGGCAACTTCGGAATATCAAATTTTTCACCAGGCCCGGTCGTCCTGCCAAATTTCATGAGTTTTCGCCAGTGGGAAGTGGGCCATTTTCCAGTTCAAAGGGGAGGAAAAAGAAAAAAGAAAGAAAGAAACAAAGAACTAGGGCCCCGTTGGGGCACTGGCGGGCCCGAGCCATGTCGCACCGCCCCCAGCGCGACCGCCTCCCCCTCCTGATCGCGTCACACTCAAGGTCGAAAGATGGTGTGTGCACTTGTCTGTGGTCATTTACCGTTATAATGAATGGAAGGCGCAGTTTCTACCAAAATGCTCGCTGCAGAAAAACTCCATGTCCTATTTGAAAAAAGTCTGGACCATGAGTGAGGGCAGAAACACAGCTAGTATATATCCAAATGTCAAGTTGCTCCTCCTTTCGGTTTTGCCGAGAGAGCGATGTTTGAGCCATTGAGCAATGGGCAGGAAAAACTTGACTTTTTCGCCTGCCATGGGGGGGCGCTCTTTTGGGGAGAAAAAATTCCTTCACAAATGTGTTGATGGCTGGACATTGCATCATCCTAGAAAACTTGGAGGCCAGTGAGGACAAAAATAAAAAGTTATAAGACTTTTAAGAATATGGATATTTGGGTAATCTTTGGCGCCCCTAGAACCTAAACCGTGGGGTGCAGCATCATGATTTGTACAACTTTTAATGGCCATGGGGTGTAGATTGGCCTGAGCAAATTTGGTGCCGGTGGAACGAAAGCTTTAGGAGGAGTTAGCGTAATTCCAATGTGTGCGGATCGGCAAAAAATGCGGAATAACCCTTTAACCGTACATTTGACAGATATGCCCGCACTGACTTTTTCGTAGATCTTATTGAGATACACGTGATTGTCAAATTATGTGTCAATATGACGAAGCGTACAGGCGTGACACTCAATAGTGTGAATTTTCACCTTAGGGGACAAGAAAAAATGGACTTTTTTCTCCTGCCATGGGGGGGCGCTCTTTTGGGGAGTAAAAATTCCTTCGCACATGTGCTGATGGCTGGACATTGCATCATCCTAGAAAACTTGGAGGCCAGTGAGGACAAAAATAAAGTTATAAGACTTTTAAAAATGTGGATATTTGGGTTATCTTTGGCGCCCCCTAGAACCTAAACCGTGGGGTGCAGCGTCATGATTTGTACAACTTTTAATGGCCATGGGGTGTAGATTGACCTGAGCAAATTTGGTGCCGGTGGAACGAAAGCCTTCGGAGGAGTTAGCGAAATTCCAATGTGTGCGGATCGGCAAAAAATGTGGAATAACCCTTTAACCGTACATTTGACGGATACGCGCACATTGACTTTTTCGTAGATCTTATTGAGATACATGTGTGTGTCAATTTTTGTGTCATTTTGCCAAAGCGTAGAGGCGTGACACTGAACAATGTGTATTTTCACCTTAGGGGACAAGAAAAAATGGACTTTTTTCTCCTGCCATGGGGGGGCACTCTTTTAGGGAGAAAAAATTCCTTCACAAATGTGTTGATGGCTGGACATTGCATCATCCTAGAAAACTTTGAAGCCAGTGAGGACAAAAATGAAAAGTTATAAGACTTTTAAGAATGTGGATTTTTGGGTTATCTTTGGCGACCCCTAGAACGTAAACCGTGGGGTGCAGCATCATGATTTGTACAACTTTTAATGGCCATGGGGTGTAGATTGGCCTGAGCAAATTTGGTGCCGGTGGAACGAAAGCTTTAGGAGGAGTTAGCCACATTCCAATGTGTGCGAATCAACCAAAAATGCGAAATAGCCCTTTAACCGTACATTTTGCAGACACGTGCGCATTGACTTTTTCGTAGATCTTATTGAGATACACGTGATTATCAAATTTTGTTTCAATATGACAAAGCGTACAGGCGTGACACTCAACAATGTGTATTTTCACCTTATAGGACAAGAAAAAATGGCCTTTTTTCTCCTGCCATGGGGGGGCGCTCTTTTGGGGAGTAAAAATTCCTTCACAAATGTGTTGATGGCTGGACATTGCATCATCCTAGAAAACCTGGAGGCCAGTGAGGACAGAAATAAAAAGTTATAAGACTTGTAAGAATGTGGATTTTTGGGTTATCTTTGGCGCCCCCTACAACGTAAACCGTGGGGTGCAGCGTCATGATTTGTACAACTTTGAATGGCCATGGGGTGTAGATTGGCCTGAGCAAATTTGGTGCCGGTGGAACGAAAGCCTTCGGAGGAGTTAGCGAAATTCCAATGTGTGCGGATCGGCAAAAAATGCGAAATAGCCCTTTAAACGTACATTTGACAGATACGCCCGCACTGACTTTTTTGTAGATCTTATTGAGATACACGTGTGTGTAAAATTTTGTGTCATTTTGACAAAGCGTACAGGCGTGACACTCAATCATGTGAATTTTTCACCTTAGGGGGCGCTATGGAGCCATTTTGCATTTGATTGTTTGGGTGACTTCAGAATATCGAATTTTTCACCAGGCCCGGTCGTCCTGCCAAATTTCATGAGTTTTCACCAGTGGGAAGTGGGCCATTTTCCAGTTCAAAGGGGCAGAAAAATAATAAGAAGAAGAAGAAGAAAGAAGAATCCATCAGGAATAATAGGGCTCTCGCAGCTGCTTAGCAGCTACGCTCGGGCCCTAAAGAAAGAAAGAAAGAAACAAAGAAAAACCACTTGGGGAATAATAGGGCCTACGCCCGGCTGCTCTGCAGCTGGCTCGGGCCCTCGGGCCCTCCTGCCATGGGGGGGGGGCGCTCTTTTGGGGAGTAAAAATTCCTTCACAAATGTGTTGATGGCTGGACATTGCATCATCCTAGAAAACTTGGAGGCCAGTGAGGACAAAAATAAAAAGTTATAAGACTTTTAAATATGTGGATTTTAGGGTTATCTTTGGCGCCCCCTAGAACCTAAACCGTGGGGTGCAGCGTCATGATTTGAATAACTTTTAATGGCCATGGGGTGTAGATTGGCCTGAGCAAATGTGGTGCCGGTGGAACGAAAGCCTTCGGAGGAGTTAGCCACATTCCAATGTGTGCGGATCGGCAAAAAATGCGGAATAACCCTTTAACCGTACATTTGACAGATACGCGCGCATTGACTTTTTCGTAGATCTTATTGAGTTACATGTGTGTGTCAATTTTTGTGTCATTTTGACAAAGCGTATAGGCGTGACAGTCAATAGTGTGAATTTTCACCTTAGGGGACAAGAAAAAATGGACTTTTTTCTCCTGCCATGGGGGGGCGCTCTTTTGGGGAGTAAAAATTCCTTCACAAATGTGTTGATGGCTGGACATTGCATCATCCTAGAAAACTTGGAGGCCAGTGAGGACAAAAATAAAAAGTTATAAGACTTTTAAATATGTGGATTTTAGTGTTATCTTTGGCGCCCCCTAGAACCTAAACCTTGGGGTGCAGCGTCATGATTTTGATAACTTTTAATGGCCACGGGGTGTAGATTGGCCTGAGCAAATGTGGTGCCGGTGGAACGAAAGCCTTCGGAGGAGTTAGCGAAATTCCAATGTGTGCGGATCGGCAAAAAATGCGAAATAACCCTTTAACCGTAATTTTGACAGATACGGCCGCACTGACTTTTTTGTAGATCTTATTGAGATACATATGTGTGTCAATTTTTGTGTCAATATGACAAAGCGTACAGGCGTGACAGTCAATAGTGTGAATTTCCACCTTAGGGGGCGCTATGGAGCCATTTTGCATTTTATTGTTTGGGCGACTTCAGAATATCGAATTTTTCACCAGGCCCGGTCGTCCTGCCAAATTTCATGAGTTTTCGCCAGTGGGAAGTGGGCCATTTTCCAGTTCAAAGGGGAGGAAAAAGAAGAAAGAAAGAAAGAAAGAAAGAACTAGGGCCCCGTTGGGGCACTGGCGGGCCCGAGCCGCGTTACGCCGCCCCCAGTGCGACCGCCTCCCCCTCCCGATCGCGTCACACTCAAGGTCCAAAGATGGTGTGCGCACTTGTCTGTGGTCATTTCCCATTATAATGAATGGGAGGCGCAGTTTCTACCAAAACACTCGCTGCAGACAAACTACATGTCCTATTTGAAAAAAGTCTGGACCATGAGTGAGGGCACAAACACAGCTAGGATATATCCAAACGGCAAGTTGCTCCTCGTTACGGTGTTGCCGGGAGAGTGATGCGATTGAGCCATTGAGTGATGGGCAGGAAAAACTTGACTGTTTCTCCTGCCATAGGGGATGGGGGATGGGGGGGGGATGTGGATTCTTTTAAGAATGTGGATATTTGGGTCATCTTTGGCGCCCCCTAGAACGTAAACCGTGGGGTGCAGCGTCATGATTTTTACAACTTTGAATGGCCATGGGGTGTAGATTGGCCTGAGCAAATTTGGTGTCAGTGGGACGAAAGCCTTAGGAGGAGTTAGCCACATTCCAATGTGTGCTAATCGGCAAAAAATGCAAAATAGCCCTTTAACCGTACATTTTACAGATACGCGCGCATTGACTTTTTCGTAGATCTTATTGAGATACATGTGTGTGTCAAATTTTGTGTCAATATGACAAAGCATACAGGTAAGACAGTCAACAATGTGTATTTTCACCTTATGGGACAAGAAAAAATGGACTTTTTTTCTCCTGCCATGGGGGGGCGCTCTTTTGGGGAGTAAAAATTCCTTCACAAATGTGTTGATGGCTGGACATTGCATCATCCTAGAAAACTTGGAGGCCAGAGAGGACAAAAATAAAAAGTTATAAGACTTTTAAATATGTGGATTTTAGGGTTATCTTTGGCGCCCCCTAGAACCTAAACCGTGGGGTGCAGCGTCATGATTTGAATAACTTTTAATGGCCATGGGGTGTAGATTGGCCTGAGCAAATGTGGTGCCGGTGGAACGAAAGCCTTCGGAGGAGTTAGCGAAATTCCAATGTGTGCGGATCGGCAAAAAATGCGCAATAACCCTTTAACCGTACATTTGACAGATACGCCAGCACTGACTTTTTTGTAGATCTTATTGAGATACATGTGTGTGTCAATTTTTGTGTAATTTTGACAAAGCGTACAGGCGTGACAGTCAATAGTGTGAATTTTCACCTTATGGGACAAGAAAAAATGGACTTTTTTCTCCTGCCATGGGGGGGCGCTCTTTTGGGGAGTAAAAATTCCTTCACAAATGTGTTGATGGCTGGACATTGCATCATCCTAGAAAACTTGGAGGCCAGTGAGGGCAAAAATAAAAAGTTATAAGACTTTGAAATATGTGGATTTTAGGGTTATCTTTGGCGCCCCCTAGAACCTAAACCGTGGGGTGCAGCGTCATGATTTGAATAACTTTTAATGGCCATGGGGTGTAGATTGGCCTGAGCAAATGTGGTGCCGGTGGAACGAAAGCCTTCGGAGGAGTTAGCGAAATTCCAATGTGTGCGGATCGACAAAAAATGCGCAATAACCCTTTAACCGTACATTTGACAGATACGCCCGCACTGACTTTTTTGTAGATCTTATTGAGATACATGTGTGTGTCAATTTTTGTGTCATTTTGACAAAGCGTACAGGCGTGACAGTGAATAGTGTGAATTTTCACCTTAGGGGGCGCTATGGAGCCATTTTGCATTTTCTTGTTTGGGCGACTTCGGAATATCAAATTTTTCACCAGGCCCGGTCGTCCTGCCAAATTTCATGAGTTTTCGCCAGTGGGAAGTGGGCCATTTTCCAGTTTAAAGGGGAGGAAAAATAATAATAATAACAAAAGAAGGAAACTACAGGAACAAGAGGGCTCTCGCAGCTGCTTAGCAGCTACGCTCGGGCCCTAAAGAAAGAAACAAAGAAAAACCACTTGGGGAATAATAGGGCCTACGCCCGGCTGCTCTGCAGCTGGCTCGGGCCCTAAAAACCACTTGGGGAATAATAGGGCCTACGCCCGGCTGCTCTGCAGCTGGCTCGGGCCCTAAAGAAAAACCACTTGGGGAATAATAGGGCTCTCGCAGCTGCTTAGCAGCTACGCTCGGGCCCTAAGAAAGAAAGAAAGAAAGAAACAAAGAAAAACCACTTGGGGAATAATAGGGCCTACGCCCGGCTGCTCTGCAGCTGGCTCGGGCCCTAAAGAAAGAAAGAAAGAAACAAAGAAAAACCACTTGGGGAATAATAGGGCTCTCGCAGCTGCTTAGCAGCTACGCTCGGGCCCTAAAGAAAAACCACTTGGGGAATAATAGGGCTCTCGCAGCTGCTTAGCAGCTACGCTCGGGCCCTAAAGAAACAAAGAAAAACCACTTGGGGAATAATAGGGCCTACGCCCGGCTGCTCTGCAGCTGGCTCGGGCCCTAATAATAACAAAAGAAGGAAACATGCAGGAACAAGAGGGCTCTCGCAGCTGCTTAGCAGCTACGCTCGGGCCCTAAAAAGAAACAAAGAAAAACCACTTGGGGAATAATAGGGCTCTCGCAGCTGCTTAGCAGCTACGCTCGGGCCCTAATAACAAAAGAAGGAAACATGCAGGAACAAGAGGGCTCTCGCAGCTGCTTAGCAGCTACGCTCGGGCCCTAAAGAAAGAAACAAAGAAAAACCACTTGAGGAACAACAGGGCCTACGCCCGGCTGCTCTGCAGCTGGCTCGGGCCCTAATAATAATAATAACAAAAGAAGAATCCATCAGGAACAAGAGGGCTCTCGCAGCTGCTTAGCAGCTACGCTCGGACCTGTATTTTATCTGCTTCAGGCTTAACGGCAGCTTTTGGCCACTCCTACAGTATTGAAATGTTATTTTCTTTCAGTTAAAAGAGGCATTTCATCTTTAAGTATATGGAAATAAAACAAACAAAAACAGTACTGACTGTAGTGCTGTGTTCATTTATTATCAATAAAACAGAGGCCAGGGGCATTAAGAGAGCAGGGCCACACACATACCTGCCAACATTTGGGTTATAAGATCCAGGAGATATTTGCGGCATGGGCCAGGTAGTTTTGTGGTTACCTTGTATGGTGGATATGAGCTAATTATGAGAATATTTGTGATTAGATAGCTCATCCAATTAAGTATAAGTGAAGCTGCACACTTTTGTTTCAACAATAACAATTGGTGATAAAAAAATAATAGCTACAATATGCCTTGAACTTCTCTAGTCCACAAATATTGGTGTTGAAGTCCTCAATTGTTTTACATGCTTTCCCATATGAGGCTCTCTGAACATCAGTGCAACACTCTTTTATCTGAGGCTGCCCTGAACGCATCACTTCGAGACGGTGAAAGACTATCAACGTAAATATTATATCTGACGTTTGTTTCCCTTGTATTGAAGTGTTTATTTTGTAACAAACACTGTTTAAATACAGTTTACAGCTTAAACCGACCTGAATCATCCCAAACTGTAAAGTAAAAGTATCAATCCAGTGTGAGACTCAGCAGAAACACAGGACTATCTTCAGTTGTCTGGAAACTTTTGACAAATATAGTGATCTGATTCAGGAATGAATGTGGACCATCAAACTACGGGAGATTCCCGGGAGAAATGACAAAACGGGAGTGTGGGCAGGTATGGCCACACAGCTCCAGTTCTAGGAACCTAAGCACCGAGCCAACAGTCACACCAGAGTAAACATTCATGCTTGGGGAGGAGGTGGAGCAGCTAGGGGGCGCCAGGAGCGGAACGAAGCTGCCTTGCTGCTGTTCCTCGCGGCTGTAATGTTTCCGCGAAGCTTTGGTAATCTACTATTATTCATGACATTGGCGTCATCACTCACGTTTCCGGGAAGGAGGTTCTCGCTGCTCGCTGCAGCTCCTGCTGCTCCCTAGCTGCTGTTGCTCCCTCCGCTAACAGGAATGCTTACTCCGGTATGACAGTTGGCTTCGGTGCTTAGGTTCCTAAAACTGGAGCTGTGTGGCGCTGCCACTACTTCCTGCTTGCTCCTGTCAGTGTTAGTCGTCCTTTTTTGACAAACAGAAAAACTCTTATATCCATTTTTCGATGCTAACCAGCGAGTCCGGCTTCCGCCAGGCCAAGTCTGTCTATGAATAATTGAACTTTAACTGTAAAGTTCAATTTTGTAATTACCTGTAATTGGGCAACACGTTGCCTTCGATCAATTGGATTGGTTGAAATGATTGACATGTTGAGATAGATGGGATTAACTGAAGATGCCTACTCTGACAGAAAAAACAAACCCAAAATCAAATTAATAGAAAAATTTAGCTTCTAGTCCAGGGCGGGCACAGCTGACTCAGTGGGCGGGCATGGCCCCCCAATGCCCGCCCATGCCACCTGTGTGAGAAATTGACATATTTTTAAGCACGATAAGGACTGAGGTTACGTTTGCTACGCATTAAAAACATTAATTAGATTTATCGGTAAACACTAAGGAGCACTTATGTGAGTCTAATCAGTTGTATAGATTCACAGCTAACAGTTATAATATCTTGTCCTGAGCATGTAACATCTGTGTGTGTGTCATGTCATCATGTGTCTGAGTACAGTTTTCTTCAGATGCCCCATCCATATCAGTTACTTGCAGTATGAGGTGATGGAGGTTATCAGCTGCTGCAGGACAGACTAACAGGATGCAGGCTCTCTACATTTTGACCACTGCAGTGTCCCTCTGCCAGCTCTCCCTCTGTCTAATCAGAACAAATGGTTTATTAATAGGTGTTGGTGCTGATCAGGTCAGGTGACCTCGGCTAAGAGGAGGAGGAGGAACCGGAATAAACATAGTGATGATGGCAGCAGGCTTTACTCTCTGTATGCTGATCTCAGACCTGCAGCTCAGTTAATACTGGGGCAGTGACACTCTCTCCATCACTCCTCATTCATATACTGCTGCTGCTGCTGTTGCCAAGACCTGCAGATCTCATGGGGAAAGATGGTGCCTGCAATTTCCATCCATCCTTCCTCCTCTGTGTGAGGATGACTGCTCTGAGATTGATTTCGCGTTGTTCACTCCAGAGTCTCATTTAGTCCTCATATCTGCTCTGTTCACCTGTTTGTCTTATGAGCATCAACCAGAGCTGGACGCCCACAGGATTTAGGCCCGGACTACACGTATATAGATATTTATTTATCAGGATATTTTTGTACTCCCGTCTAAATAAATGTATCTGTCCACACGTGTTAGTTCTCAAAAATACCTGCGTCCACATGTAGCCTTCAAACTCAATCCTATCTGGTGCCGCTTAAAAAAAATTCAGGAACAAAGCTACCTGATTGGGTTGATGAATCGTAACAGCATGATGCGTCATGCATTGTTTGCGGAAGCTACGCTCGTGCGTTGGGTCCATGTGACGGACCATGTGACCCATAAAAGTATTGGCCGCAGCAGACGCGTCTGTGAGCTGGCTGACTGGTCCGTAAAAGTCCAACCACATGAATCCACTACGGATACGGGATACGGATATTTTTTTATTTCTCCACTTGTTTTTTTGGATTCAGATTTATCCGGTTTGAGTGCTCCAAACTCCTGTTTTGGTGTGGTAGGGAGGCCAAATCGGACATAAATATGTGCGGTTTGAAATATATCCACATTCGTGTAGTTGGGGCCTTAGTCAGGGTCATGTGATCAGCTCCGGCTTATTAAATCTGAACTATTTGCACTTTATATCAGTTTGCCCTCCTAACTTTTGTTTGGCACTCTCATATCACCATGTGGACCTAGAATTTCCACACAGTGGACACGCAAAGATCCCGTTTCAGCTACCTGCCAACTCCCCCCATTGATGTACATACAAACACACAAGCTCTTAATAACACCACAATAAAAAAAGTTTGAACAAGATAACGTGGAGATAAAGAGTCTGCATGCAACCAGAACTTTGGCTAGTTGGCTAGCCAAAGAATGGAAAACAATAGTATGAGGATCTGAAAAAATGAAGCATGACATAAGAGAGAATACTTGTAATTTGTGTACTGTATCGAGTAATATGGATGCAGATGTTTTATTGCAACATTATTTCAACAGTTTTAATAATTTTAACTGTATAATATTAAACTGTTGAAAGGACAATAAACGACAAACACTGACTGAAAAAAAATATGTAATGTATTTAAGTTGTTAGCTCAATGTCCATGATCAAATTGAAGTGTGGGCACGAGGAAAGGTGCATGTTGACGCTTTAAACACTTTGGGCTCTATTTTCGTGCTCACTGGCGACGCGGCGGAGGGTGGTGGACCCTGCGCAGTGGTATTTTTTCTGGCGGAGCCCGGCGTACAGCCAGTTTGGTATTTTCATAGACTGAGGTGCACCGAGGTCCACCAAGCTGGGCGTGGTGGCGCGACAGGGGGAGGTGTCGACAGAATCAGCTGGCGCAGTGACATTTTTGTGCTCGCCAGCTGTTTAGAAAGTGCGCTGAAAGCTCGCCGATTCAAACCTGGTCAGCTTTCAGCACAGGTGGAGCGCAGCTGGTCTAGTCTGCGCATACATCACCGATGTCTCACCGGCAAGTTTCCACAGTTTCAGGCACATTTCAGTGCAATAAATAACTAATATTCTGACATACGTTAGATCTATATCTGATCTGCTAAGCGTGTTTGGCACGTGTTTGCACACACTACCTGACCAAATCAACACAGCTGAAACCACATTATATTAAATTAAATATCTAGTAAATACACACACATGCTGAAGTGAACAAGATACTTAATTCGTCTCCCCCCTATTTCTATCTTCCACTTCCTTATTTCCCACGCAGCTCAACCTGGACATGTCGCCGTGTCTTCTCCCCTTCCTGCTGCAGCTGCAGCTATGGGGGCTGAACAGATGATTTATTTTGGTGATGAGAATTTACTTTAAGCCTACATGCAATATTATAAAATTCAGTTATGTGAGCCAAATTTATTTTATATGCCAACATCTATGAAAGAAAGAGCCAGGCCACAGAGCACGATGCGTCATTTACGCACAGATGATTCAGATTTTAATGCCATTATTGGAATTTATGTTGTGATCTGTGCGCACAACCCATTTTTGTCATGTGAGGTTTAAATATATGCAACTTTATGTGAGTGTCTTCATTTGTGGAAAAGGGTGTTTGTCTTACCAGTGGGTCCAACCTTACACACACCAAATCCATCTGTGCTTATATGAGACAGTGTGCAGGGCGCCCTCTGCAGCGCTTACAGCGACACTTGTTGAGGGGCTGCCTTCTGTCGCAATTGTGTGGCATTGCTGTCTTCAGCCATCTCTTGATCTCTTTGACTACTTAACGAAAATTGTAATATGCCTTGCCCGTGGCGGATTTAAATGTGAAGTCACGAGCTTATCTGTTGGGCGAAAACAGGTCACGGCTGTGTTAAACCCACTCCACGCCCTCTCTATGACTTACGCCGCTGGGAGGAGCTGAGTTAGGTTGGGGGGGGATACTAACGCCAGGCTGCGCCTCTCACCAAAATACAAAAATGTGCTTGGGCAAGCCTTGTCCGCACAGTGGACCTGACTTATGCTGCTCCTACGCCACGTCACCGGCAAGGAACAAAAATAGAGCCCTTTAACTCTGGTGACCTGATGTGGGGATGTCATTTAAGGTAGAAAGGATCAAAAACTGGAAAAATATCAGATCTACATGCTCAAAACCTCAAAACAAACCTCACTGCAACATGAGAGTTGTAAGCTTGAAGACCTGCAATTTTGTGTGGCATCCTTTGATAAAAGTATGAGATAGGGTGTAAGTGATTAATAAAAGCAACTAATCAATTAATCAACATGGTGAATGAATATAGTTGTTGTTTTCCAATACTTTAGATAACTATATTTGGTTGTAACACACCACACTCCTCTTTTTCCGCATGCAAGGGGAGAAAGATACATCCCTCTTTAACTTGGGCCAGTAGAAATGCTTCAAAATCCTGTCATAAGTTTTCCTTACCCCCAAGTGACCTGCTACTCCATCACGAGCAACCTCATGCACAGTCGTCGCACTGAGGCAGACACAACAACTTGCGAATCTTCTTCCCACAAAACAGTCCCCCTGAGGAACCCATTTCTTCACTAACAAACCATCCTGAAGGAAGTTACCACGGGCTACATCCTCCATCTCATCTTCTGGAAGCAACTGACTATATAAAGAGCCTGAAGTGTGGAATCCTTTGCTCCCTCATGGAGTCACTGGAGGACATAGGCAAAGGGAAAACAGGCACTGGAAATACAGACAAACTTTTCCTAACTGGGTTTTCAGGACCAGAACCACCTGCACAGCACATAGCACATATCACCACACAAGTGGAAAGTGCAGTTTTAGAAGAGATGGAAGATTCAGAAACTTCATCCTGGTTGAGAGGGGTCACCTGAGCTTGAGAATCAGGCCAAACCTGAGCACCAGCCAGATCATTTTCAAGAATGACATGTATTCCCCCCCATGGGCAAAGCAGGGCGTACTGCCATTTCTACCTTCCCTTGCACCAGGTCTGAGAATTGTGTTAACCTGTGCTGTGGAGCAGAAAAAACTGTCAAACCCATACCTCGCACCCCAACACTTGTACCACTGTGAGTTACAGCAGAGAAAAGTCACACCAAGTCCAAAAAAAATGAGTCTAATGCTCCTAGATCCCTTAAGATTTGCACCGGAACTCTGTCTTCACCCCGTACCAGTGATACAAAACCATCAGACACAAAGGTGAGATAACCTGGGTCGATCTCATCCATGGGGCCTGCTGTCTGATCCAAGTTCACTATAGGATCCACACCCATCGACTGTGGGGAACAGGGTTTAGTGTGAGCCTGCACAGTAGCAATGACACTGGCCCGCTCCTCTGCTCCCACAGTCACAGCAGCCCCAGATGGTTTGGTTGGTAAATAACCTGACTTTCTTAACACTGGACATTCATTTTTCCAATGACCCTGACCAAAACAGTAGTTACAAACCCAACAGGAGTCCAACTTACTCAGCACCCAACAATCTCATTTAATTGGAAACTTTGCTGCTCCCTGCTCGGACAGAACTTTGCTCCCCTACTACTCTCTCTACATGTAATATCACTGCGACCAAGGTTGTCTTCCCAAAAAACTTTGTGTGTTAAAAGAACTCATCTGCTAACTGTGCAGCCTCTGAAACTTTGGTCACTTCTTGTTCATTTTAATAGGTCACAACATAATCTGGCAGAGTGTTTTTAAACTGTTCCAGTAGGATTAACTCCTGAAGCTCCTCAAAGGTTTTAACCTGAGATGAAACACACCAACACTGAAAATGAACTGCTAACTCAGTGTGAGACTGCTTCTCTTTCCTGAAAAAAAGTAAGTGTGTAAACCACCTCCCTTTTACAGTTCACCTGGTTTCACAGCCCTAACTTCCCCTGTGAAACAAAGGCAAAATCTCCCATTGTTACTGCCTGGCTCAAGGCAGACAACAAAAAGGGAAGCAACACAACAATATCCATCAATAATAATGTTTTATTTAACTGAAATGCACTATAACAATCATACCTATGTGGAATGTGTATGGATAAAAATCAGTCATGTCAGCAAATGTGTGTGTCATGTGTATGGTGGATGTTGGATGATTAAAACCACAAAAGTGATAGCTGGAGTGGCAGATGCAGGCCTTGCTGAGAGAGAGCTAACAGTCATGCAGCCAGGCCTTTTTTCCCTTTTGGCCCTGCCCTGCTGGGCAGGTAACTCAGCCCCTCCTAGCTCCGTCCTCCAGGGTCTCCCTGAGGCTGAAACAAAGAGCAGAGTGAGACAATTGCAAGGGGAGAAAGAGGAGGAAGAGTGGGAGGGGTTGTCACAGCGGCCAATGGATTTTCATTTTCAAATGCAAATGATGCTGTCACATGACCAAAGCAGGTGAATAAATGTACCTTCTCTGCATCTTACATTTAAAAAAAAAATGTTGAGGTGCCAGGGAACATCATCTGGAGGCAAACAGATGTTGTATAATTTTGGTGAAAGAGTTTCATGTTCTGTTCATGTATAGAAATTGAATTACATTTAGGGAAAACCCCACTGCAAATCTTTTCCCAGTCACAACTAAACATCACCTCCAGATCACGCTTCAGAGAGTCACAACCTGAAGAACCAGAAGAAAGTAGTGAAGTATAAAATGTTGGAAATGAGTCCTTTGGATGATTACTCATCCAAAGTTGAGTAATCTATTACTCACTATAATAAGAGACCCTATAAAATGATGAATTTGGAGATATTTATAAAAATCTTTGTGGGGAATAATAAAATCTGCCATGATTTGATCAAATGACTTAATAGAATCAGAGACCAATAGGTCTGATAAGTTTGACAGGCCCTTAGATGACCAATCCGTCACACCAATACTCCTAATTTGTGCTGGTTAATCTGGATTCAAAGCCAAGGGAGAATGGAAAGAGAAGACAGGGCAAATATTGAAGTATTTTTTCACATCTCTTCAAACCCGTAGTTTGTTATAAACAATGATGTTGTTCTTGAGGTGATTTAAATGATCCATGTCATTTATAAAAGGAAGCAAGCCAACCCTTCTGGGATAGCAACAAAGGGATTCAAGACCCAACCATAAAACATCTTTCCTGTTCATAAACCAATTTGACATAATTTTAAGTTGGGCTGACCAATAACATAGTTGTAAGTTGGGCAGAAACAGGCCTCCCAGATCCCTTGGCTTAATAAGTAGAGAGAACATTAACTCTGGTGTCTGTTTTTCGAAATATAGCAAGAGATATGAGAATTCAGTGACTTAAAGAAGGCAGGGGACAAATAGCATGGGAAATTTTGAAATATATGTGTCAGGGGTGTGGAATTAGGACCCAAGTGCAGCACAACGGCAGGTAGTTGTTTAGAAGCTACTTTTATTGCAATAGTTCACAGCAAACAGGTAACTGAAGATACTGGGATTGATTTAGCAGTCTCTGTAGAATCTCCAAGATCAACAGTAAACTGATCCACAGGAAACAGGTCCAACAGGCAGAAAGGTGAGTGCACACAGAAAACACACTACACCTGAGAGTCTTTGTGAAGTGCAGCGGCACTGTCGAGGGGCAGGCTGGGCTCGTGGTCGATGCGGAGGCAATGTCGAATCCAGGCAGACAATCAGCGGGGCAGAATAATTCCAGAGGGATCAGACGGAAGGATAGTCGTGGACAGGCAGTAGGTCGGGAAGCCAGTAACACAGCAAAACCTGAAGTTCTCACCAGAGCGAAGAAACTTGACAGGGGATCCAAGGGCTGAGACGATACGACGTGGTCAGAGACAGACAGGAGTCGAAACCGAGAAGTCAATCCAAGAAATAATGCTGGAGAGTCGTGCATGCTGCGAAGACAATCTGGCACTGACTGAGGGACACAGAGTGACTTAAATGCTGGCTGGCTAATCAGCAGTGAGGAGCTGCAGCTTGTCACTCACAGGTGGGGGGAATCAGTGCTGATGAGGAGGTGTGGCAGGGGTGAGGTGTGGCAGGTGAGTGAGAGTCAGCCTGAGATACACAGCAGAGTGTGACAATATGATTCAATCGAGGGAGAATGTTTGTTTTTATAGTATTGATTCTCCCAAGGAGAGAAGTTGGTAGGAAGGCCCATTCTGTCAGATAAGGCTAAGTAATTAGTTTCAAACTGATTATTCAAATTAGGAGTGACAAAAATACCTAGGTATTTGAAACCCCTCCTGGAGACTTGAAAGGGAGATTGTAGTGACATAACCTGGGGGATATTAAAGGGCGTAGCGACCGACTTTGCTGAATTAATCTTACAGCCTGACAGGGCACTAAATGTGGCTATAGATTTCAGAACTGCAGGAATTGATTTCTCATGTTTATTGAGGTATAAAAGTACATTGTCTGCGAATAAGGAGATAATGTCTTTTTCTTCACCTACCCTAACTCTAAATCAGTGGCGATTGCTCTAAGACTGCAAGGGAGTCTCAGCTTCCCTTAAAATGTCAACCCCCCCCCCCCCCAAAAAAAAGTGGTGAAATGCGTACTGCTGTGTGTACATTTCATTAACTAAATATGCGCTAGAAAGCCTTCATCTTTTGTTCAGAATCAGCTTCTTATCACACTGAAGCTAATAATCACAGGTTACCGGCACAACTTCGTTGTCATTCATCCTCGCAGCGCCTCAGCGCTTCACACAGCCGGACGCTCAGCGTCTGCTGACTTCAATGTGGAAGCTCAAAGTGGGTTGTTCCAGCAGCGAAAACTAGACGCTCATTGGATAAATGCCGGGCTTTGTCCCGCCCATTGGACGCTCAGCGTCTCTGGAGTTCTATGACGAGAGGGCGGTCCCAACTTTCGTGCGGATGCTGAGCTTCTGCATCCATGATTGGATGATCTGTCTGAGGCGAAATCCTTTTTTGATTGACAGCTAAACAAGGGAATCAGCGATCTTGAAGAATAAAACATCTACCAAAGCATTTTCCAAGTTATTCATTCCGTTGTTCTTAACTGCTCCGGAGACTTTACTGATCCCCAGTGACTTTTGTCACACAATTATGATGTAGGCCAAAAAAATGAGCTCCCCCTCCCTGAAAGACCAGCAGCCGCCACTGCTCTAAATATATCAGGGTTAATTTTGATGACCTCAGCCAAAGGTTCAATAAACAATATGAACAATAAAGGTGACAGGGGGCAACCCTGTCTGCAGCCTCTGCGCACCTACCTATGAGATGAGTTCTTTTCCATTATAAGTGGTAAGCTATTACCTTATCTAAGAGTTTCCAAAAATGCAGTCATAGACTCTGGGGTGTAAAGAGGTGGATTTGACCTTCATGGAGACACTGGAGGTGCGCTAGGTAGGCAAATCCACAATATTTATTATGGTGAGCCAGCGCCTTCCCCCATGGTGTCAATGCAGGCGTTGTGTTTGTCCTCTGTTGTGGAGACCCTTTCCTCAACCTCATCCATGCACTTTTCCTGGTCATCTGTCAGAGACGACCAGGTTAGAGAGAGTTGACAGCAAGCTCTTCACCGAGGTGACAGATACTTTTATTTCACTTAGTGTGCCATTAATAGTGTCCAGGCGAGCGCCAAATGGATTCATCCATGCCGTTCACCTAGGAGGCCACAGACTTTATTTTGGCTAAGATCTGTTCCATTGTAGCTTGGTCAGTTAGCGTTAACTCCGAGATGTTAGCATCATCTTGCTTAGCTACACCCGCGATACAGGGCAAGGCTGCTTGTTGAACAGTTTTTTTTTGGACGGCTGGTCCAGGCGGTAAAAAGATAGGAAAGTCCATGTCTCGCTGCCATCTAGGCATCCCAATAGGCTTTATTGGGTTAACTTGGAGAAAATTACGGAGTTATATGAAGCCTGGGGTGGAGAAGAACTTCAAGCATCCAGCTTGATCCAGATCACGTGACCAATCTCCTGAACATTTTTTTTTAAATACATTTTTATCCACACCATTCTGGAAGGCACGTAACTGCTTACCACAGTATGACTCCCTCCTTCACATGGTGAAGAGTCTCCCTCAACACTTACTTTTTCAGCCTCCTCCTGCACTATAAGGGCAGTGGTAACGGGAGCCTCATTGTCTTCAGACTCACTGTCAGACTCATGTGAAGGACCCGCTGCTACCTCACCGACAGACCACAGTTTGTGAGGCTTCAGAACTGTGTGTCGGACATGGTGGTCTGCAGCACGGGGGCTCCACAGGGGACAGTGCTCTCCCCCTTCCTCTTCACCCTGTACACCTCTGACTTCAGCTACAACTCTGGGAGCTGTCACCTCCAGAAGTTCTCTGATGACACAGCCATCGTCGGATGTGTATCGTCAGGGGATGAGCGGGAATACAGGACTGTCATCACTGACTTTGTCAACTGGTGTGGCACAAACCACCTTCAGCTCAACGCCAGTAAGACAAAGGAGATGGTTGTGGATTTCCGCAGGAGGGGGACACCTCAGACTGTTCCAGTGACCATCCAGGGTCTGGACATCGAGATGGTGGAGTCCTACAGATTCCTGGGTGTCCACCTCAACAACAAACTGGACTGGTCAACAAACACAGACGTTCTGTACAAGAAGGGCCAAAGTCGTCTCCACCTGCTGAGGAGATTGAGGTCTTTTGGTGTGTGCGGGACTCTGCTCAGGACTTTCTATGACTCTGTGGTAGCATCTGCACTTTTCTATGCAGTGGTCTGCTGGGGGGCAGGGAGCACCGAGAGGGACAGGAAGAGACTGAATAGACTGGTCATGAGGGCCGGTTCTGTCCTGGACTGTTCTTTGGACTCCCTGGAGGAGGTGGGTGAGAGGAGGATGTTAACAAAGCTTGTATCCATCATGGACAATCCCTCTCACCCACTGCACCAGACTGTGGGGGCTTTAGGCAGCTCCTTCAGCAGCAGACTGAGACTCCCACCCTGCAGGACGGAGCGCTACCGCAGGTCATTCCTCCCCTCTGCAATAAGACTTTACAATGAACAGTAACTAAACTGGATTTACACCACCACTTTTTTTTTCTGGCATTTAAATTGTGTAAATTGTGTATATTGTAGAAAGTTTTATTTTTTCTTTTAAGTTTTTTCTTAATTATTACATTTATTTAAGTTCTTAATATTAGGATCCTTATTGTTATAACTGCATTTTTGCACTCTTTGTCTTGTCTGTGATGCTGCTGTGACAAAAAAAATTTCCCCCATGGGGGATCTGCGTAATTGTTTTACTTTTAGAAGCCTGAGCTAGAGCTTGTCTTTTCCTGTCCCTCAATTTTTCCGCACTGCCTTTGTGTTTTTTTTACTTTCCTTCTCCACTTTTGTTTTTTGTGTGCTGGCGTTCTAGAGCATGCGTGGGTGGGACTCCTGGGCCTCTGTAGCCTCTCATAGGGCCATTGGGCCCATTGAGCACTGTGGGCCGGGCAGATGCATGTCGCTCTCCCCCGGGCTGGGGGAGTTATAATAGTTACCGAGGCAAGGCGAGGCATGGCAAAAAAAAAAGTGACCGGCCCATCGGGAAAAGTCCTGGTACTCCCGATGGCCAATCCACCCCTGCTTTCAGGAAACAAAGAAAATACAGTTTTAGCAAACAGCCAGCCCTCTAGTCTCCACTTGAAGTGAGTCAGACCCTGTTTAACAGACTGGCTGCTGTCCTCTTTTTCCTCTGCAGGGTGAGGGTTGTGTTTCTGGTTTTCAGTGTGTATTCTCTAGCCTTATTTATCAGGAAAGTCAAACATTATTTAGAGGAAAATTATTTCTCTGAGCCCTTAGGTTCTGGCCAAAGTCAGTAGTTTTTAATAGTAGCATTATTCTCTATAAATAATCACTGGAGTTTGTATAGCAGAAAATCAGGCTAAAGGTCCTTACACACCGGCGAATTTGCGGAGCAAAGCGAAATAGCGAGACGAAAATTGCGAATATTTGCCGGTCAGAAAAATCTCTTTCGCCTATACACACCGGCCGCAAAGCGAATATGCGTATATTTCTTGCAAAGCGAATTAATAAAGTCGCTTTGCGGCACGGAGGAGAGGAGATGCAGGGTGGTCCTGTACCACAATTACCAGCCTCTCTCCCATCGTTGCTCTTGGTGCCAGTGATGGTGTGTGTCGTGTGAACGGCTGCTGATTGACCTGTCTAGCATTATGAGTGAGGGAGAAAGAGGAGGAAAAGCTGAGAGAGACGCCGCAGCAGCCAGGAGAGGCGAGGGCTGAGCAGTGATCCTTCAAGTTGTCTGGTCATTCTGTTGGCCCTGTAGCTGCAGACCATCGGTATGTCAAACAGCTGAGAGGGAGAATCAGGCATGATGAGGCGGTCACCCAGTGAAGTGTGCATGACATCTGTCTCTTATGGAAGACAAGAGAGTCTTTCTCTGCGTTTTCATAATCTCAAACTTCTCCCTCTCCTCCAGCCTTATGGGTCTGTGACGTCATCAACAACATGTCTTTTGATTGGCCAGAGGTCTAGCAGGTCCAGATATTCGCCTGCGAATATCCGAAAAATTCGACACAGGAGCGAAAAAATAAAAGCAGCTGTTCGCCCCGCCGGTGTGGAAGCTTGCATTGACTTTAAGCTGTTTTTAAAAAAGGCGAATTATTCGCCTGGCGAATTCTCGCCTGGTGTGTAAGGACCTTAAGAGCTGATGGAGGCTCACTGCTAAATCACCTCATTCTGCCTCCATTCGTCCCTGAACACAGCTGAAGTCTGCTCAGGCTTTGCTCTGCAGCTTTCACTCTTTAACATTGTTCTGATGAATCATGAACAACTGTGATTGTTTCATTTCCCCTGGGTTTTACTGAATTTTGAAAAGACAGTCAGTAAAAAAGAATTTGAAGATTTTGCTCCTCTTTGTGGTTGTCTATTCGCAGTCCAAAGCATAATAAATTACGAGTTTAACTGCTGCAGCTCATCCAGCACATTGATCAGTGTGTTAGGAGCTCCTGCCTTCCTGTTTTTCTGCTGTTGTAGGTGGTTCTCAAATTGTTCAGCCATGATAGAAACAAGCGCCTGGACCATCTATCCACATTTCTTCTTGGACTCAGACAAGTACACCTTTGCAGGCTGTTGCTGAAAACTACAAATGCTGAAACTTCAGAGAAAGAGTCTGAGTGGTCAGGAAAAAGCACCTATGGGATGATCAGAGAAACATTGAGGTCTGTAAAACTTTTTGGGCAGAAACGTGGAGTCAAAGTTTTACTTACATAACAGGTTTTAGTTTAAGAACAAACGTCCATTTTTAGTTTCACCTCCATATACAGATAACCTAAATCCACTGTACTCACAGACATCTAGCTCCTCAATCAGATTCAGCCCAAATGTCCTTTTTAAAGAGGCTAGGAACAATAGACCGAGTTAAAGATGGCAGCTTCTGGGTACCATAATACAAAGACAAAAATGATATTTCAGTAACATTAAAACACAAAACATCACAGATTACCTTTGCTCTTGGGATTAGTCTCTGCATATCTTATGTATTGGATAGAAACACGCAACGCCTGTTACTGGAAAGCTGTTGGACTTATGGACCAAGTGGATTTATGTCATCATTGAATTTTATATATCTACAGTACTGTGGTGTATGAAGCCACATGTACCCCAGGGGGTTAATCACTACCAGAAGCCCTTTACTAAGGGTGGTTGGGTCCTCTGTAAAGGCTGGGATCACAGTCTCAAGAGTAAATCACAGACTTTAAGACCACTGAGTCCAGCATCAAATAACTGAACACACTTTATTGAACTGAATCAAACTCAGAGTGAAACTTATAAAACTTTTTATAAAACTTTTAACTCATCTGCAGCCCCCCCCCCCCCCCCCTCCCGTAATTGTTCGCCTGTGTGCAGCATTGTAATGTATCTTCTTGAGTCGCTTAAAAAGCACATTTATGCAGCTCTTAATTTCCCTTAAAGACATGATGAAAAGCAGAGTGTGCAGAGCAGCTGAATCATGGCCGCCCTCTCAGCCTCAGGGTAATTTTATCCACATTTTGCATTAGAGCCACCTCCAGCCTTTTACTAATTTCACTGTTCACTGACCTGCCTATACTTACCCATTTGTTTCCTGAACCACAGGGTGCAGCTACTAACTGGAACAAATACTGCAAACTGTATTAAAATGAGCAACTACACTTATATTTTCTAGAGCCAAACCTTCCGGGCTGGCAGGTTTTAAATTTCATTCTGCTGACGTTGGTGCTGGGAAACCTAGATTAAAACAGCAGAAATGAGCATAAATGAGGGCGTGTTGAATAATGGGCAGACTCCCTATTCTGACACAATGCAGTCTCACTCTAAAATGTACAATACTTACGTTGGTCCACAATGCAAAATGTAGTAATTTCACAAAAAAACGGCTCTGAAATTGTTACATGGATACGCCTCATCTGCCCAGTCTTTCCTAATGGCATACTTCGGGTCACGTGACTGCCAACTTTCTTCCCAGTGTGCACAAAAAAACATGGAGGACACCCCTTTAATTTTCGGTGGAAATTGCTGTATGTTAAGATAGCTTTTGACTTTACCCCGGGATAGCAGGCGAGTTGTGAAGCTTGCCCCCACAGAAGCACAGCAGATCTGGGCGACAGAGAAATAAATAGGCATCCCGCCGAGCAGCCGTCTGGGACAGGTTGATCCTTGAGGGCGTCCTGGACCTCCTGCTCCACCTGCCAGCAGACCACCCCAACCAAACATAAGGAAGGATCGACTCTACAACTGTTAGGATGAGTTTCTTTAGCCAGTCATGTCAGCCTTTAGAGTGGTGGAGCTGTGCCACTCAAATACCTCAGATAGTTGGTGCTAGATTTTTGGAGCCATGGGCCTCAGACAACCATCCTCAGCAATGACCTTGTACCCATGTTTTACATTACACAGGTCCCCAAAATATGTTATGTCATGGTATTTCCTTCTATGGACCCTCCATATGTTCACCTAGAGCTCCTTAAAATATGCTGTCCTTTGTTCTTACCGTACATTTTTCTTAGGGTCAACTAAATGTCAGCAGTATGTTTAGAAATGTGGACAGCTATATATACTTGAACAGTCTCAGACCAATCTTTGTTACACTGTGCTACACTTTGTTACACTTGTGGCATGATGAAGCTGTAACCCAGATCTGTAACCAGTAAAATTTGTCAAAATGATCATTCTTGTGGACCTTCCATTTTTTATAGTGTGAACCTGGGCTAGGCATCCTTACAATTTGGTGTCACAAACAGGATTAATCACCGAATAAAAGGTAAGCATCTTTAATTATTCAATCCATTTGTGATCGTATTGCTTACCTGATATGAGCATTAAAAAGAGACCTTTGCTATGGGATGCCTAGTAGCCCTTGTACAATTGGCTTCTAAATTTGTGATAGTCTGAATGGATAATGTATTTAACTTCATAAGACATTTACATGAGACAGTTCCCTGAATTTGTTTGCTGAGATGTGTCGATATTAATCAATACTAGAGGGACAGTGTGAATATAGGTGTCCAGAGAGACATGAAGCAGATAATGAAGCCCTTGGAGGACGTGTTGATAAATATTGAAGTAATAGGTGCTACTGTCTGGTTGTCTGATGGACTGACTGCTCGACAGCCCCGATTCTACTTCAGCAGTACGGTACCTCTGGGTTTCGTAAAAGATGTCATTGGATGATGAGATTATGTTGAATTTGTACTTCTGTCTAATTGTCTGACCAACTGACCGCTTGACGGCCCCGATTCAGTCGTTAGCAGAGTGGTATTTTTGGTTTTTATATGAAGATGTCATTGGATGACGTGGTTGTGTTATTGGTGTTACTGTTAATAGTCTGATGGTCTGACTGCACGACGGCCCTAATTCAGTCATTAACAGGTACTTCTGTCTCTGTTTGAACGGACTGACTGCTTGACGGCCCCGATTAATTCAGTGGCAGTTGTAGTGTGATTTTGGATAGGGAAATCTACGTATTGCATAATATCGACCCATACCAGCCTCAATTCTTCAGGATGTATTTTTTGTAAAGATGGAATTGGACCTAAAGTGACTTCAACATCCACATTGACAACCCCAGCTGTAGTCTAGCCTGTGAATTCCTGGACATCCTACAATGCTTCAGCTTCTGCCAACACTGCCACTTCCCCACCCATAACCATGACCACATCCTGGACCTTATCAGTTCAACCGGCCTAACCGGACTCACAATTTACCTCCAGCTCTATACAGACCACCTCCATCAGTACAAAGCCACCCTCAGCTCCGCCAGCTCAGCATACTACTCCAACATCATTCGCTCTGGCTCCAGCAACCCCAGGACTCTGTTCTCCACCATCAACTCACTTCTGGCGCCACATGACAACAGTACCGCAACCTTCACACCCGACAAATGCCAGACCTTCCTCCAGTTCTTCCAGTCCAAAATAGACAACATCTGCAGCCTCCAGTCCGCAACTTCCACCCCCACTCCCCACCCCAAGTCCCCCTCGTGCTCCCCCCACACCTCTGCTCAGCCCCTATCCCAGTTTTCCCCCATCTCTCATGCTCAACTCTCCCAGTTAATAACCACCATGAAGACTTCCACCTGCACCCTGGACCCCATGCCCTCCGCACTCGTTAAGACCTGCCTTCCAGTCCTCTCTCCACTAATCCTCTCCATAGTCTAACCCTAACCCTAACCCTACCACCCTCCATCAGACTCTGCCCTGACCCCACTACTTTCAAATCCCTTTTAAAAACTCAAAATTGCTTTTAATATTTAACTGTTTTATTCATTTTACTGTTTTCATGTCTTTGTTTTATTATCGTGGGTTTTATGTACTATGTAAATTGTCTATGTAAAAAAAAAAAAAAGCTAAATAAATAAATAAAAACAAAGAAAAGTCGAAGATCTACCCAGACAGGAATGCAAAGTGACAAAGGTCTTACAGTGTTCCACAGTAAGACATTGTTCCAACCATGTCTGTAGTATAAATGTCAGCCAGGGAGTAGGTGCAAGTGAAGCTGGGGTTCTATTACACTGAACCTTTTTCTAAGTTTGGCTGAGTGCTCTGACTCAGTGCTCTGATTTCCCATGGACAACAGTTTTAATAAAAGTAAAAAAGAAAAAAAAAACTAACTAGAATCAGAATGATAAAAAAAAAGAAACAGAAGGAAATTAGATATTGTACGAGAGTATCTAACGAATAACACAGCCATCAATAGTATTCAATGGAATCAAGACTACATGACAAAGGTGTAGATTTAGATGGCTTATTAGTTTCCTGGGAATCTTAGTAAGCTTAAAAGAAAGAATAAAAAAAAAGTTTTCTCTATAACTCAAGAAACTGTTCAAGTAAAATACGAAGAAGCAAGCTTATTGTTACACCCTCTTGCAGCTCCCAGGTTCGTTGTCCCTACATGTAAACCTACCTAGTGCGTCTGTGAAGTATGTAAGTGATGATGATGACAGTTCATTATTTTTACATGTTAAATTACGATGAACCGCCCTGCCCAATGCCAACAAAAGTAGTCCGCTTGTTACACTCATAGATGTTGGGAGTGCCAAATCTTTCAACATACATCCTTTAAGATAAATGTATTCATCAATGTATCCAGAATTGTAATATAACTTTTGACCTAACAGAGAGTGTATGTCTGACACAGATCAAACCCTAGTGACAGAGTTGAGACTGTAAAAGAATACCTGGCATCCACATTCAAGAGCATATTTCAGAGTAGGTCATGACTGACAGGTGCCTTCACTGTCATGTAATTGGACCCCTTAGTAGGACAGCGTCTGGTAGGAAGGAGCAGGAGTCCTCAAAAAAGTAATGTGGACCAAGTACAACTTCACTTTATGCCTCAAATAACCTCTGATCTTTTTTTGCATAATGATTCTTAGAGTATGTGATATGGTGCCAATCAAACAACCCAGGGTATTCAGGAGGAGGAACAACATCCTGAACAAGTTGAATTGTCCATTTGAGTAGTTTTTCTGTTTAATCTATTAGTATCTCTGGTCACTCCAATAAGCCCTTGATCGGGATAACATCTCTATCATGCAACAGGTACTGATAGTCAGTGCTAAGACACCGTCCGGTCTAATGCATCTGAACCAACCATTGAGATTTTGAAGAGTGAGGACAAACATCAAATTTCTATAGATGAAAATAGTCACTCAATAAAGCGGTGAAATCAATTGCTCTAATAGTGTCTGATATTGACTTAGTTTTAACCGCACAGCCCTCTAATTCTAGCTTCTATACCAAATCAATTCATGCTCTGCATATTTCTCTATCACTGTACATGAGGAGACACGAAATTTCTCTACATTTGTATATTGTTTCCGTGTTTGTTTTGTATGTGTTCCCCCACACTTTCACACAGTAGGTGATGTATGGGAGAACGAATGAACAGTACAAGGTTTATAGCGATGACTGGTTTGGAAGATATTTGACTTAATGTAGTATTGACAATTGATACTTTATTCACTCTCTCCATTTCTTTGTTATTTATCATGAGTTTCTTTTGTGAGTTATTTGCCCTATTTCCAAATATTGTGAATTTAGTTTTGTTTAGATTTAGTGTGAGTTCATTTGAGTCAAACCAACTCTTTAGTTTCTTTAATTTGTCTGCCACTGTGTTCAAAAGTTCTTTCAAATTATCTCCACAGCAAAGCAAGTTAGTGTCGTCTGCAAATAAAATAAGAATTTTTTTAACCTCACATATATTGTTAATGTAGAGAACGAACAACAATGGTCCCAGCACTGAACCCTGAGGTACCGCACACTTAAGTTTGAGAGTATGTGTCTATTTCCAGATTTGAATATGGGTATAACTTAAGCAGTTTTCATTTTTGTTGGAAAAACACCAGTTTTTAGAGACTGATTACAAATATATGTGAGAGGTTTCATCACACACTTAATATCTTTAACCAATGACATATCAAAATCATTGCAATCTGTTGACTTCTTTCTCTTGAGCTTCTTAACAATGCAGATATTTTTTTTTCATTGGTTCCCTTTAGAAACATAGTTTCACTTACATTCAAAGTTTTACTTTCCACTTCATGCATTTTGTCGGTGTTTGCAATCTCTCCAGCTAGACCAAACAGGCTTAACTGGACCACAAACTATGATCCCATACAAAAAAATCCCCATATATTATACCAGTAGTTTTATATAATTTCTTTTCATTTATTTTATTTTATTTTTTTATCCGGATGTGAGTATTCATGCTGCTACAACAATTTTGTTCGCCTTATGTGGTAAATCAATCATTAATATATAAATTAATCTATCTCTATGCATGTTTATATTGCAATGCGCCAACATCTAGATCAGGGGTCGGCAACCCGCGGCTCTGGAGCCGCATGCGGCTCTTTCTTCCCTAAGCTGCGGCTCCCAGTGGATTTGGAAAATAAATAATAAATACTTAATTGCATTTTATTTTATTTTATTATTATTATTATTTTTTGTAATTCTAAATTCAAAGATTATAATGCTCTTGTAACATTAAATAAACTATTAAGGCTGCAACAACGAATCGATTAAGTAGATTCGTCGTGACGAAAAAATCCGTTGCCAACAAATTCTGTAATCGATTCGTCGGGTCTTTATATATGTCCATGGACACCGGCGTGTAAACATCAGCAGGACGCACAAAAAAGAAACAGCCATGGCCGAGGCAGCGGCTGAGAAAAACATGGACACAACCCAACCCAAATCCCGACCTAAAACATCAGTGGTGTGGGAAAACTTCACCAAGACTGAAAAGGAAGGCGTTCAGTGCAACATTTGCAAAGACCGTTTTGCATGGCTCGGGAGTACATCGATGATGCGTGAGCACAGGGCTCTCAAGTCTCACGCATTCAGCGTATGACACACGCATTCCCACTCGTTCACACGCTCACACACCACACATTGTATTTCTCACGCATTTAAATGAACACGGTGATGTCCACCAAGTTGCACTTCTTCAACTTTGGAACTGGGGGAAATCAACTGAGTTCCTCCGAGAGTTCAGAAGCTGCGTGCCACGCACAAGCCAATCAAATAAAGTATATCTACTGAACAGCCAATCAAAAAGCAGCATTGCTGTATCCGGGTAGATTTTGATATCTTGCGGTTTAACTACAGAAGAAGACAGACACTTGCCGAAATAGTTCATTTATTTCATAAATGCAACTCGCTACAGTTTTTTATATACTTTGTATAAAGGTTAAAAAAAAAAAGATATATGCAATGTTATCTTCATTTTAGATGTCAAAGAGGTTTTGTGGCTCCCTGTGTTTTCTTTTCTGTGGGAAACTGGTCCAAGTGGCTCTTTGAGTGTTTAAGGTTGCCGACCCCTGATCTAGATTGTATCTTCTCAAACATTGTTATTGTATATCTTAAGATGATAGATTATAGACGTAACAACAACAGCAACAACAAAAACAACTACAATGATATAAATAAATTAATGAATAAAATAAAATCAATGGGTGTGCGTGAGTGAAGGCGTCTAGAGGTTTGAATTAATGGTGTTCTCCTTTGCCACCCACTGTAGAGGTCTCATCTTCCCATTGCGATCAATTTAAAGAAGATTCAATGACAGCATGACGGTAGAGGATAATGAGCCGCAATGGTCTTCAATTTGTATCCCATACTTATTATTTTTACATGCACACAGTTATATGATTGAAGTAAGTTACTTGGTAACTTACATGGTAATAGTTTGACTGAGGTATTTATATGTACTTTATGTATACTCTCAGATTAAATTAAATTGATACAAATAAATAGCACAAAAGCACTTAACAATAAATACCCTACAACTCCCATTCAATTATAATGAAACTTTGACAATTTCTTTGTGGAAGAAAAACAGCAAGATTATGCATACCCATAGACTGTATATACTATGGACAACTTGGTTCCGCCTCCGGCCTGTATACGGATTTGAAGCCAAAAAGCTCTCTGTATTTGCGGGATTTTTCTTTATTTCCTGAAACCAGTGCCGCGCAGTAGCGTTGTGTGCATTCGGTGGGGGAGTTGCTGGGATTCGCTGTGATGACGCTTGGCTCAAACAACATATCCCCCGGGTGAGCCACGCAATCCCTGAACGCCAATAGGCTGTATCAGGTGTCAATCATAGAAAGTATGAACCCCCTAATAACTTTTAAAAACGGAGCTTTCTCCCCCCCACAACCAGGGGGGAGAAACATTTATATTCTGTGTCATTAATTTATAAAGTTTGTCCACAGCCCCATAAGCTTTGCTGGCGGAGGCGGGATTTATGACCTGTTCTTGGAGTGGCTTCACCCGGCAAGGAGGCAGACTCTGTCCATTCTATGTACAGTCTATGTGCATACTCCATGAAACAGGGCTCCCACTCCACCAACTCCATTTGGTTCCCCTAAAAAATATTTAAAAATTGTTTACTACCATGAGCAACCACACTGTCAGAGGACTTAAGAACTGTGGTGCATTAAATTTCTCTAAATAATTCAGTAGTAAAGGTATATATTTACATTACATTTTTATTTACAAAAAATAGCCTACTGCATTTTGGCTTTCATGACCCGCTTGACTGGGTAATATTGGTCCTTTCTCTCAACCATGTAGCTGCATTCGGACAGCAGAGAGTGTGCACTTCCATTTTTTTTTATTTTTACAGAACGGCACAGAAAGAAAGTTATCAT